CCTCACAGTCGGTCCTTCTGGTGGACTTTTAAGCGTTGGCGGTTTAAATTGAAATTAACTGAATTTATCTGCGAGTAAATCTCCAGTAACATTTTTAAAAACCAGTTGATGTCTCGGTCTCCCAGTACGGTGAACATTCACATGATCAGCTCCAACTGGAGGGTTTTTATTGACACGAACCAACTTCATATTGTTGTTTTGTTCTTCTCTCGGCTGCTGCTTCTTCAGGGACTCGACACAGAAAAATACATAAGTTCATATTCAGTTCAATATTCAGTAGCCTGCAAAATAATATTTCCAGCCTGAGGCGTGGAACATGTTGCACGGTTAGTTTATTACCAGTTTGTTTCGGTGTTTTGATGGTTTCAGGTTGTTTCTGTAACAAAACTAAAGTGACGTCTCCGCTTGTCTCCAGAGCAACACTCCAGTGAGCAGGAAGGACACGACGGCAGGATCTGCCAGTCTCTCCAGTGATTCTTTAATCAGCAGCAGCCAGTCGGAAAACAAATCAGCCAGAGGACCCTCCGACGAGTTCGAGGACCTGATCGTCAGCGCAGATGTCGCCGCAGCTGAAAACCTGTTCGATGAGCCCTCGGATGATTTCGTCGACATACTGGGAGGCGACGCTGCAGCGCCAAGGGGGGAAGTAGACGTTACGGGGAGAGGCGAAGTGGCCGGTGGCGCGGCGGATCCTCCACCATCCTCCGCTGCTCCGCTTATCGGTGTCGGTGACGACCTGCCAGCTGTTGGCGAGCGGCAGCCGCCCGTCGGCGAGAACGTCTGCGACCCCCTGGTCGACCTCCTCAGTGATCCACCAGCTCCTGCCGATGCCAAAAGTCCCAGCGCTGCCGTAATCGATCTGTTCGAGGACGTCGGGAGCGACGTTTTCACCGGAGCTCAGCCGACTAAACCTGCCAAGCCTCAGAAAAGCCTCTTCGGTGAACCCGACGAGGATCTGTTCAGCGAGCCGCTGGGCGCCGTCTCCAAGGCACCCGCTGCTGAAGAGCAGAAGAAACCTGCAGGAGAACCCCTGCAGGGCTCCAAACCCGCAGAACCCACGGATATCTTCACAGAGGAAGCCGTACCCACGATGCCAAAAACCAGGAACGCCAGTGCCGTCGCCTCCAGAACCAACGGAGTCCACTCTGAGGAGGGCCCGGACATATTCGCAGGTACGTCGACAGATTCAACATCTTCTGGATAAAATCACAGATTTCATCCTTTCATCAGGATCTGAAGGGAATAATTTTACAAAGCACTGAGATTAAAAAAATGTTTTGTAAAGCAGCAGTTCAGATCTTTTATATTAAGTTGTATGGAACGTTGTGAAGAGTTAATATCTTACCTGTTGATGATAGCTCTTTGAGCGACCTCATTTTGCAGAAAGAGATCGGTTCTGACCAGAATGACGAGCTAAAGGCTAGTCGGACCGCTGCCGCCTTAACACAACTTCATTCAAGAACTTCAGAGTCGTTTCTTGAACTTTATTTATTTTCAGCCAACACAAGACGACAGGCCGGTGATAATTCCTGCGTGTTGGTTTGTCTGTTAGTAAAATATCTCATGAATTGTTCAAAGTATTCAGTGGATGTACGTCTACAGCCGATTCACTTGTGAAGTCGGCTCGATTCAAGATGGCCACCACAGCAAACCTGCGACCAGCGGCAGCTCGACGGGTGTGGTCGGAGCCGATTGACGGCACACGGTTTAGGCGCCGACGCGTTCTGTGAGCTTTCGCAACACGGTGCACCATGTTTGTTTGAAGGTTTAACCAACACGGCTAAAGCTCCAACAGTTCGGCATGTTGTCGCCTTTAATTCACACGTGTTCACACGCCGTCAGGTCCACGTTGGACGCTTGTTTGTTGGACATGCCGTCGGTCGGTCCGTGCTGTGAGCGAGAAAACTTAAAAAAATAAGCGAGGGACCAATGGCTGCGTCTGGCACAACAAAGATCACTGGAAAATTGGTTTGCCACGTTGGTCACTCCGAGTTTTAAACCGGGGGGGGCATCGGCGTAGCGCTCGTTTAAACCGAATTTACGGTTGTTTGCAAGAACTGTTGGTGCCGCCCGTTCTGGAAGTGCTTGAGCAGAATAATCCCGTTAAGTGAAGCTCGTGGTGTGAAGTTCGTGTCGGAGCCGAGAGACGAGTGATGAAACCTGCTGCCGTTATAAAGACGCGAGTCCAGTCGGTGTTTAACGGCTTTCTTTCTGGCAGATGCCACTGTGGAGCTTTCTCTCGACAGTCCACGGAACGAGCGAAAGAAAGAGGCGCCGACCAAACCAACTGCTTCCTCCTCATCGTCGTCGTCTTCCTCCTCGCTCCCAGCAGCTGCCAGCCCGGCCAAGCCTCAGTTCTCGGCCCTGGAGGAGGTGCACACAGCTAAACTCAAGTTTTAACATTTCTGTTCCCACGTTTATGTCAAACATCTGCAGATCCTGTAACCAGTTTAGGGTTCTGCTCGTGTGCCTTCACTTTACGTTTGATGTTCGTTTCAGTTGGAGGAAGAGGAGGAGGAACTGGAAGACAAGTTCGACCTTTTAGTTTCTGTCAAAGACCCTGAAAAGATCGGTGAGGTTCATTATTCCTCCTGCAAAGTCCATTTTAAAGCTGTTTGATTTCCTGCAGTGAGAATAAACTGTGCAAACTTTGATTTTCTCTCAGGCGATGGTATGAACGCCTACATGGCCTACAAAGTTTCCACAGAGGTAAAAACAACACGAGTGTCGTTTAACTTGCTCTGCAACAACGAGGAAACGCGTCAACTTGTTATAAGAGACGCGTCTGGTGACCGAGCTGCTGGACAAACGTACCGCATTTTCCACCGTACACCTCGCACCGCCCTACGACTCGCATCAGTCCAAAAATGTCTAATAAAGTGGGAAGTAAAACATAAATACGTCACTTCGTCGTATAAGTCGCATTTATTACGCGTCACCGCTGACGACCTGGAAACGTGGGACGGTGTGCGAAAAATCAATTGGCTGCCAAATGGTGGGAGCGTGCATGGGAGAACTTTAACAAGAATTTAACAAGATTAACACTTACTAACAATTATTTGTTTGCGCGACATTATAGTAAAGGTGCGTCTCAGTTTAATTTTTCTTAATAAATTCACTTAAATAGACAAATCGGCTTCATTTCTCCGGGGCAGCGCAGCAAAATGAAGCTGATTTGACGGTTCCTCCAGGCAAACTGGATGAAGGCGGCAGGGTATGGCAAGCCGATTGTGTCATTAATAGCCACTTATGCATATTACATGACTCAACGGCATGCCATATTACATGAGTGCCATCTAGTGGCTGAAAATGGTAGTGTTCATATTGTCAGTCAGAATGAAAACGGTCATATCTCAGCCAAAAATTAGTTTATAAATATGGGAAAAATATAAATGGCGTATAAGTCGCAGGGCATGCAAATCATGCAAAAATCTGCGACTTATAGAGCGAAAAATACGGTAGTTAAATCCTTCAACTCTGAGTCCTCATCATGCTGTAGTGAGTAAATGCTCTCTGTCCGTAATGTTTGATTCTGCTCGAGACAATTTAATCAAACTTGAGATTACACTAGACGGCGTGCCTCGTAAACTTTTCATCACCCCAGCTCTAAGGTCACAAATCAAGGTCAAAAGTTAGTCCAGGTCTTTGCTTGTCTGGGCCATTGCTGCAGATTGCTGTATGATGTTTTAATGAGCGTATGATGTTCTGCATCTCAGTCCATTTTAAACGGGCCTTGAAAAGTCGGCAGCGTTCTTCCATTTTGTTCACATGTGGCTTTTTCTTTGCACGATAGAGCTTTAACCGGCTTTTGTGAATGGAACGGTGGGCTGTCACGATGATTTGTAGAAGTGTCCCTGAGCCCACACAGTGGCGTCCAGAACCAGAACCGTTTTTAATGCAGTGGCCTCCGAGCCTTGCAGCCTCTTCACAGATTCCTGAAATGCTTTGATGAAACTCTGACCTGTAGATGGGAGGACGTCAAATACTCGAAGAACGTTGGTCTGAAGTTGTTCCGTTGTTTTTACACGGACGTTAGCAGACTGGTGAACCTCTTTACTTTGAGGGAGTCTGACTTTTTTTACACCCATTCCTTTTACTGACCTGTTACTAATTAACTTAATTAGTGAATTAAAAGCTCCTCCGGTTGTTTTTGTACCACTTGATTTTACAACCTTTGTGTAACAACGTTTTACAGTCGTCCATCTTGAGACCAATGACGGTAAAGGGTGTGGACCGTTGCGGTCTCACGGGGTTTGGGTTTTGTGCGAGTAACACGTGCGTTTCCTCAGTAATCGCTGACCGTAGAAGACAAAACGTCTCGTTCTCAGCCGCCGTTATCTTAGATAAACCAGTTATCAGAAAGGCTGTGGACATTCTGGTCCTACGCTACGTTTATCTGAGATGGTGTGACATTGACCAAATAAAAACAAACCGAGTCACAAACACGATTAAATCTCGTTATCTGGACAAGTTTCTTTACGTTTCGTTTTTCATCTAAAGGACTTCATCAGTCTCTTAAAGAAACATGTCCAGATGACATAATTTAACCTTTTTTGTGATTTATCTTCCTGGATGATTGAGTTTACAAACCTTTTTTCAAACTGAGCTCTAAAACAGTGGTTCCCAACTCTGGTCCCTGAGGAACGCCATCCTGCATATTTTAATTGTTCCCCTGGTCCAACACGCCTGACACTGCTTTAATTACTTCTTCAGAAGCCTGTTAATAATCCGTCCACTGAAATCGGGTTTGTTAAAGCAGGAAACAATTAAAACATGCAGGATGGCGTTCCTCAAGGACCAGTGTTGGAACCCCTGCTCTTCAATATCCAAGATGAAAAATCGTTTTCAAACTAGAATCCAGTGATGTTGTTTTAATTAAAAAGCTAAAGTGAAAAATCCTGCCTTTCTTTCAGACCACACTGCCCATGTTCCGCAACAAAACGTTTACGGTAAAGCGCCGCTTCAGCGACTTCCTCGGCCTCTTCGAAAAGCTCTCTGAAAAGCACGGACCAAATGGACTCGTCGTTCCTCCCCCTCCAGAGAAAAACCTCCTGGGTGGGTTTGACCGCTTCTTCTCGTGTCTCAGACTTCACATTTCAGGTGCGTTCGACGTGAGGATAATTTCTGTCTCGTTCAGGGATGACGAAGATGAAGGTGGGAAAGGAGGACTCTTCCTCTGCAGACTTCCTGGAGAGAAGAAGAGGCGCTTTGGAAAGGTACGTTGGAGCCGCTGCAGATTTAAACGGCCATGAGTCGATTCCCGATGAGGAGAGTGTGTTTTATCGGCCTCAGGTATCTCCAGAGGGTGGTGAGTCACCCGCTGCTTCTTCAAGATCCTGAAGTCCGAGAGTTTCTAGAGAAAGAAGAGGTAAGCTGCATTTGAGACAAAAATGATTTAAAATAAAATTTCAATCCAGTTAAAAGTTGGTTTTATATTAACGGAGGGAAAAACATCAGGCAATGTGTTGTCGAGCTTTGACATGCAGTCTGGTTGTATGTTTGCAGCTGCCCAGAGCTGTGAGCACCCAGGCGCTGAGCGGCGCCGGCTTCCTCAAGATGATCAACAAAGCGACGGACGCCGTCAGTAAAATGACCATCAAGATGAACGAGTCGGACGTGGTGAGTTGAGCTGCGAGCGCCTGACGGAGACGTCTGAGCAGGCGTGCTCACGCTGTTTTTGCTGCAGTGGTTTGAGGAGAAGCTGCAGGAGGTGGAGTCTGCAGACCAGCAGTTCAGGAAGCTCCACGCTATGGTCGAGTCCCTGGTCCTTCACAGAAAAGGTTGGTCTTTATTCATCATCGTAGAACGACGAAGGGGGGGTTGGACAAACCCTCCGTCCGTGCACGATAACTTGAAAAATAAGCAAAGTACCGACTTTCATCTTTGTGCGGCTGCGTCTAGACGTAAGAAAAGTTCCCACTCGGTTGCTACGTCATAATCCAAGATGGCTGCCACCATATATTCAATTCAATAGAACTTTGTAACATTCCAAGAAATGGAGATTTATCTTTGGCATCTGGCTCATAAAAAAAAAAAAAAGTTAAAAATGTCATAAAGCGTATCAAAAGCTTTAACCCAATAAAAAAAATAAAAATCTATAATGCATGATTGTATTAAAAATAAAAAAACATCCCAGCAGACAATGCATATGTATATACCGGTATATATGTATATATACACACACACGTGTGTAAACAGACTGTCATTTTATGAAACTGTTCTAGTTTTTTATTAAAAGTATGATTCCTTAAATGATTGGGGTGGTCAAAGACTAAGACTATGGCCCCCACTGGCCACCCCCTGGCTCCTCCATTGCACCATTGTGGTTAAAGCTGCACCCTCCGATCATCATGATCTCTGCAAACCTGGAAAATGACTTTCACTTTTCCCAGGCAAGAAAAACTCGAGGAATTTGAGGAAAAACAAAAGAATCTGACTGATCTGCTGATTAAAAGATGAACTTTGAGATTTTAAGGTTTATTAATGCTTGCATTGAAGTATCAATGAGCCCATGTTGTGCATCCAGTGTACAAAGTACGTGTCCTTATTTATTAAGTGGCTTTTTTAATATCTGATGTTATCCAATATAATATATTATTGTACTTGGTTGTGCACGTACTGCAGGATACAGTGTACTTACCGTCGTCCCTGAATGTCACTCTGCCCTCCACCTTTAATTACACCGAGGGGGAGAAATCAAGGACTTCAGTTTTCATGGAGAACCAGGAAGTGTGGCTCCTCCCAACTTGAATATGTTGCACCAAAACATTAAGGTTTTCTTCATCCCCCGTTCAGTTCTAGACCAGAAAAAACACTTGTCTCAAAACTACATTCATGTTCCAATCCGTCGGCGACGGCGGACATCAGTGCCCGTTTGTCTTGAACGTCTCCAGAAGTCTCTCGATGTTGTTTTGTTCTTCAGATGCTCTGAAACCTTCTGCTCTCACAGTTCGTGGCGTCGCAGCGTTAACGTTCGTCTCGCTCTTCCTCCAGAGCTGTCGCTGAACACGGCCAGCTTTGCTAAAAGTGCGGCCATGCTGGGCAGCGCAGAGGACAACACGGCTCTGTCCCGAGCCCTGTCCCAGCTGGCCGAGGTGGAGGACAAGATGGAGCAGCTGCACCAAGACCAAGCTGCCAACGACACCTTCAGCCTGGCAGAACTCATCGCAGACTACATCCGTCTGCTGGGAGCCGTCAGGGTGCGCCCGGATCTCGTCCGTTGGTGGTTGTGAAAAGAAGCTGTGATGTAAACGTGCGTTTGCTGCTTCCAGGGGACTTTTGACCACCGGATGAAGGCGTGGCAGCGCTGGCAGGACGCTCAGGCCATGCTTCAGAAGAAGAGGGAGGTGGAGGCCAAGCTGCTGTGGGCCAACAAGCCGGACAAGCTGCAGCTGGCTAAAGAGGAGATCTCTGAGGTACGACACGAGCCGAAACAACGCAGCTAATACCTGAGATGACTCAAGTTACACACTTCCTGCTCCTGGTGTCTCTTCGACTTTTCTCTTTAATTAATTATGAGAAAAACATTTTTAACACTTGTTGTGTTGAAGCTCTGCTGACTCGTCTTTTGTCCGTGCACGCAGTGGGAGGCCAAAGTGACCCAGTACGAGAGCGACTTTGAGAGAGTTTCTGCAACCGTCCGCAAGGAGGTGACCCGCTTCGAGGTACCGTTGTCCTTTTGTCTCTGCTGTGTCCAGTTCAAGGGTGGACATTTCCAGCAGAGCTTCTATTTGAAAATCATCGGGAATTATTTTAAAGTTATTAGTTCCCAGACTCCAACACTGTTGAGCTCAGAGAGCAGAAGCATGTCCACCAGTACAGCTACGACTGGGCTGTATGCAAATGATGACCTGAGATATAAACTCACAGAAGTAGAAAAAAACAAAGACTTTTCATGTGTGAGGCAGCCATTTTGGGTTTTGTGGTTGTGGTTGGTGAGAAGCCTCAGGCTGTCTTGAGTCAGAATTCCAACTTTTGGAGACATTTCGTCCATTTTTCCAGCACGGATCTCAGAAATGAAAAATAATAGATGCAGCTCAAATGCAGCTCTGTTGTCTGCTGCTGAAAAGACCTTTTTGTTGGAACAAACGCTGCAGAAACAAGTTTGCTCATTCTGCTCGTCAAAGACTCGACGTTCATGTAGCTGACCCATCGTTAAAATAAATTCAACGGATTGTAAAAACGGAAACAAGATTTTG